GAAATACTGCCATTTGTAGCATCATGGATGGACCGAGAGAATATCATACTAAGTGAAGTAAGTCAGACAGAGAAAGACAAAAATTAAATGATATCACTGATATGTGGAATCTAAAAAATAATACAAGAATCTATATACAAAACAAAGAGACTCATGGACATAGAAAACAAACTTATGGTTACCAAAGGGGAATGGGGAGGAGGGACAAATCAGGAGTATAGGATTAACAGATAACATACTAATATACAAAAAGTAGATAAGCAACAAAGATTTACTATATAGGACAAGGAACTATATTCAATCTCTTGTAATAACCTAAAATGGAAAATAATCTGAAAAAAATGTATATAACTGAATCACTTTGCTGTACACCTGAAACACAATGTTGCAAATCAACTACACCTCAATTTTTAAAAAAGGACAAAAAAAGAAAAATTAAAAAACGTTGTAAAAAGTGTTTTACAATGTCACATTGCTTGTGCCATTTGAAATCCTTAATGAAAAAACAGTTAAATTATAGTATCAAACATTTAAAAATTTTCACAATGAAAGTAAACAACTTATCATTCATGTAAGCATAGTTTTGCCAAGATTCAACAAAACCCACACCTAGAAGTATCAAAGCGAAAATGCAAAACACAAAGACAACAGGAAAATATTAAAGCAGCTAGAGAAAAAAATGAGATTATAGTCAGAGGGAAGAGAATGACAGCTGAATTCTCACATTAAAGCAGCTAGAGAAAAAAATGAGATTATAGTCAGAGGGAAGAGAATGACAGCTGAATTCTCAACAGCAATGGAAATCAAAAGGCAAAAGAATGATAACTTCAATGTGCTGAAAGAAAATAGCTGCCAACCTAGAATTCTACATCGAGAGAAAATATCTTTCAAGGAAAGAGTTGAAATAATGACATATTCAGATGAACATAAACTGAGAAAGCATGCCACTAGCAAATACTCACTAAAGGAAATTCTGAAGGCTCTACCCCAGACAGAAGAAAATTAATTCCAGATGAAAGGTTTGAGATGCTATGGAGGAATAAAGAGCAAAGAACATGTTGAATATATTGGTGAATCTCAACAAATATTGACTATGTAAACAACAACAGTAATAGTTTATAGGATTACAAAAATACATAATTAAAATATACAACAGTAATAACATGAATTTGAAAAGAGTAAATAGGTATTCTAAGTTCCTTTCACTGTCAGTGCAGAATAGAGATATTGATTAATTTCAGGCTTCCTTTAAGAAAGCATGTTAAAATTCCTAGAGTATTAAAAGAACAGAAAATATAGTGTATAACTTTCAAACAAGAAGAGGGGAACAAATGGAACAAGAAAAAAATAACCCAAAAAAGGAAAATAAAACACAGAAAAGCCAAGACAACTACAAAGCACAAAATTAGATGGCATATTGAAAACTCAATATATCTGTGATTACAATAAACAGATTAAAAGCTTCTGTTAAAAGACAAGCTGACTTGCCAAAAAATCAAAATCCAACTATTTGCAAGAAATGCACCTTTTTAGATTAGGATAGATAAAGGCTGAAAATTAGACAAAGAGAGAAAAAGAATAAAAACACCAACAAAAGCTGGTGTAACTACACTGACACAGGATAAAGTAGACTTTAAGGTAAAGCAAACAAACAAACACCATAAAAAGGATTACTACAGAAGGTTCAATTGACTAGGAAGTTATAAGAGTTCAAAATTTGTATACACCTGATAATGTAGCCAGAAAACAGATAAGCATAAAGTAAACATTGGAAGAACTACTAGGAAAAAGACTCAATCATAATGAAACTTATAGGGGAAAAACAATTCGAATAAAAGCAAACTTCTCATCAGAAACCATGGAAGTCAGAAGGAAGCTGCACAACATTTTTCAAGTGCTGAAAGAAAACAACTGCCAACCTGGAATTCTATATCCAGCAACCATCTTTCAAGAATGAAAGAGAAATAGAGACATTCTTGGATTAAGGAAAACTAAGAATTTGTTGCCAAACGACATACTCTAAAAGAATGACTAAAAGAAGTTCTCTAAACAAAACAAAACAAGACAAAAGAAGGAATCTTTGAAAATCAGGAAGGAAGAAGGAAGACTGAAAGAGTAAAACTGTGGGTAAATACAATAGACTTTCCTTCTCCTCTTGAGTTTTCTAAATTAAGTTTTACGGTTGAAGCAAAAAGTATCACACTGTCTAATGCCACTCTCAATGAATGCAGAAGAAATAAGACAGTTATGAATGGTGGAGGGTAAAGAGACATAAATTGAGGTAAAGGATCTAAATTTCACTTTAACTGGTGAAAAGTCTAGTGTGGTAGAGGACAGAGGAGGCAGATCTCAGAAAACATTGGTGAAGCCACATTTTAAAAAACACTTTGCATCTCCTATTTACTCAACTCTCTATATCCATTTTTTCCAAATAAGTCTAGTAATCACACTTTTACTTAAGACCACTAATGAGCTCTCCCTCTTGACTTTAATGCTGCATCTGATAGTGCTGAATATTTACTGCTTAAAATCTTTCTTCTCTTGTTTTCGGAGGTATCAATCTCGTGACTCTTCTACATTTATACATACTTTTTCTCAGTGTCCTAAATTGAATTCTATCATCTACCCATCTCTTATTCTTGTGTTTCTCAAAGTTTAGGCTTCAAACCATGTGCAATGGAAACACTTGAGCCCTACTCAGGACCTACTGATTCAGAACCCCTAGATGTGAGTACTAGGGCATCAGTCTTTTAACAAGCTCCGCCAGGTGATTCGAGTGATTCAAGAGAATTACTGTCTTAAATGTTAATCCACAAGGTTCTGTCATGGGTCCTCTTCTACTTCCACCTGTTACATATGTACAATTAAAACCACACCTCAAACTTTTACCACTTACATCTCTCAACAGGATGTGTAAACTGCCCACCCCTTCCCCCGCCAGCACCTATAATCTCTCCTGACAAAGAGTATTTATTTGAATGAACATGATGATTTTCAAGCCTGCTCTGTCAACCAAAATCTAACTCTTTTAGGCTTCATACTTGTATATGCATCATTCCAATGGACATGTCCACCAGGCTGTCCTGAATTAGTTAGGATTAAATTCAGCTAATAGTAAGAGAAAAGCCTGAAATGGTGGTTTATATAACACAGAAGTTTCTCTCTTACAACAGTCTGGAATAGGCTACTATAAAAATTCTGCTCCACAAAGTTCTCAGAGACTCTGGCTCCTTTCTGCTTTCCACTCTACTCCATATGGCCCCCATTTCAAAGTTCAAGATGGAGCTCCCCCCAAAATAACCACATTCCTAGCAGCAGGACAGGAGCAAGAAGGAAGAGAGAATGGGGCATTCACCTCTCTGTAATACACTTCCTGGAAGTAGAACACACTACCTATACTTTTATCCCATAGACCAGGACTTAAGTCTCATGGCCATATCTAACTACTAGAAAGGCTAGAAATCTAGTCTTTACATTAGGCAGCCAAACTCTGCTACTAAGAAAAAGAAAAAAAGGTGGGGGGAGACCAGATAGTGGAGGAAAACAGCATTCTTGACCACTCATTCCAAAGTCACCATGTCCCAAATTGAACTCATCAGTTTTCAGAACACACTGTGTAATTTTACCTTTGTTATGCCCCCTACCTTTATCTCCCTTCTGCCTGGCAAGCTCCTTCTCCTCTCTTAACACTCAAATCATGTGTCTTTTTGTGAAACTTTCCTTTACCTAACCACCTTTACCTCCAGCCTAAATGGACTGGATGTCTTTGGGCCACCTTAATATCTAGCATACATCACTATTTTTATATACTAATTCTGTACTGTATTTTTAAAAAAAAAAATCTATCCCTCCATTCATCCCTCTCCCACTAGAAGGTAAACTTCTTGAGGGCAGAAACTATGCCTTATTTTAGTGCCATATGCACATATATATCTGTATTATACTAAATTTTTTATAAAAATCTACCATTAATATCTGTCTTAAAATTATGGCAGCAGAGAACTGGCAAAAAAGGTACCTAATAAAAAGAACATCATAGTATGCAGTATTGTAGTATAATGGGATGTGTTAAAGTTCCAAATTACAGAAGATTCTAATAGCAATTATAAAAATAATATGGCCATATTCTCATATCTAGCCACAGCCTTCCTCCATACACATTACCTAATCATTTTCTAGACCAACCTTTCTTTTTTTTCTGGTATAAATAAACAAATTTAGTAGGGTAAACTTTAAGTATGTTTACATGTGTTCAACTAGTAAGTTTACATTTAACTTAGGCCAATGATTCAGTTCTGTGCTTAGACTCCACTAAATCTCAGCAGTAATTCCATCACAGAAGACCAGGTTAGACATGTCTATATACTTGGAAGAGACAATCAAGGAGCTTCAATATTTTGATGACTTTTCTCTGAAAGAAAATATCTAGACTAGATGACATAGTATTCAACTTAGGAAGCACCGCATTACAACTGATAAACACATGACTACCAAAGCACTAATCCACAATGGCTTCCACAGTCAAAAATTTTCACTGACATGTAGATTTTACTTAACAATAATATCAAAGTATCAATTTAACTTGGAAAAACAAATGAAATCATGTAAAACGTGTATATAACAGTTGTTACGCCCAACCTTTCAGAAACTATCTTTGAGATATAAACAATGGAATACTATGCATAATTTTAAATAGAATATCAACTGTAAAGGTAGCTGAGCACCCCAAAATGCTTACAGTAGCAAGGCTTCAATGGTCTAAGTGTGACTTATAGCTTTGCCCATATTCTTTGTTATGGACTGTCAATTCAGACTATGATGCTGGGTTCTAATTATAGCTTTCTTTTATCTCCAGTTCTCTAGCCTGGACAGTACCCTCACTGTTCTGCCTGCTGCTCCTCAGTTGGGCATGAAGTCCTAACCTTAATGCCAACAGCAGTTAGACCTAACTTCAATAAAATAAAAGAACACGTACTAGTCAGTTATCGTCATTATCTTACCATGAGCTCCTGGTGGTTGTAATACATCTCCTGTGAGGCGACACCACCCTACTGGGAAAATATCTCGACAATCATACTTGCACCAATAATCAAAAGCTCCACTCCAGCCATCGAATGTGATATAAACTTCATCTCCTTTAACATCTCCAATAGTTGCAGGGCAGATCAGATAAGGGTTCTTTTTGTCTATAGCTTCAAGTTTCATTCCCACTTTAAAATTATTTAGAGGTGGCTTTGGTGGCTCCTACCAAAACATTAAAAAAGTTTTCATTGTTAAGATGTATTAAGAAGCATTTGCTCAATTATATTCTTACAACCTTTAGCAACCAAAAGTTAAGCTTCATCTTTATCAATTAAATACAGGAAGAAACAGTTCTCACAGATCCCTCTGAAATTCTGCTCTACAATATCTCACTTACTCTGGAGCAGAGCCAAGAGCCTAGAAGAAAACAAAACCAGCCTGAAAGTATTTCATTCATTCATTCAAGAAATATGTATTATATACTATGTACCAGGAATTTGGCATTTATTGGTGAACAAAAATATAAGATCTCTGTTCTGGTGGAAATTACATTCTAGTAGTGGTGGTAGCAGTGGTTGTGGGGCTGGACAGGATGAAGGAGAGGAAGCAACAAAAAAATTTTTTAAAGATAATCAAACAAACCTAACAATAAGTAAATTACAGGGTATACTGAAAGGTAGTAAGTCCAAAGAGAAAGAACAGCAGCAGATAATACAGGTAATACCTAAAAAGAAACTCAAAGTATGAAATGAAGACACAAGAATATGAAAGTCATCTATATAGTCTGGGGTCATTTATGATATCCAGAAATAAATATTTAAAAAGTATTTGTTAGTTACAAAAAGTGAAATCATGCAAATACTAAAAGGATTCTTAGAGAGTCCAAGTGCTAAATTAAAAGCAACATCTTTTTTCAATTTGCTTTTTATCCTAGTAAACAGCATCATCAGCAATCCAGTGACCCAAGCCAGAAACCTGGAAATGGTCCTAGATCAGTAGTTCCCAGTCTGACAGTGTTAGAATCACCTGGGGCCACACTGCCATTGATGCTGATTAAATTCGTCTGAGGTGGGGCCCAGGTATCAGCACATTTTAACTGCCCAGATGATTCTAACATGCATCCAAGGCTACGAACCACTACCCTAGACACATCCTTTACTCTTAACACTCACATTCAGTCAAAGACCACAACCTGCCAATTCCAACCCCTAGATTTCTAAAATGACAACATTAAAAGTTAACTTTCAATTGTTAGTATATGCCAGGCACAGTTTAAATGGCCGCCATATATTCATGTAATTCTCACAACAATCCTATAAAGTCAGTGCAATTATTATCCCCATTTTACAGATGGTAAAACTGATGCACACAATTGCCTAAGACTACACCATAAGTATCAGAGCTAGATTTTAAATCTAGGTAGCCAACTCCTTGTTACACTGTACACCCACCATCTGCCCAGCCAACTCCAACTCAACCAAACTTCAAAGCCCAGCTCTCCTGGCCTCTTTAAGGCTTCTCTGACCAATGCCCGCCCACTCCTAGGCCAGCCACAGAGACGCTCTTGCCTTCAATTGTGAAACTGTTAAAATGTGTTCACTCCTCTATGAGAATAAGGGATTCTCAAAAGCAGGTACCTCATCTTTTTTATATTGTTATTACCAGCACAGTACCCAACAGTAAGCATTGTTTTTTAAATGAATGAACCAAGGAATCACCTGGAGAACAGTAAACAAGCTCTCAACTCTTTCACCAAGATATTAATTAAAAAATATATCTGGTAGGTTGGTTCCCTTTTTAAATGCCCCTTTTAAACCCATCTCATCATCCTGTACTTTCCCACTGTTACCCTACCCTTTACAGCCTTGCAATCTGAAAGTTCTCTCAAAGTCCTTTTAATTACATATTCTTAATTTGATTCTTAAAAACCACCCTGAAAGTCAGCAGGGCAAAGGTTAGTTTGATCAGAGACCAAAGTATCTGATAAATAGCTGATAAGTAAGAAGTAGTCACATACTGTCACTTTATGAAGGAGCAAAAGGTCTACTGTCAGTTACTACATACGGGAAGAAAAATGGGGGCAGATTTTACAAAGGATAACCATGGTGATTGATAAATTTGTGCTGGACATTCACAGAATGCAGAAAACATTCAAGGCACAAATAAGGATCCCAGGACCTTACATGGTCATTTAAGAGAGTAAGAATAAAGTTTAAGACTTTCTGTAGCAAAGTAAACTAAGTTCAAATGACAATATACATTTTCTGCTACAAAACAGAATTAAGACAGGAATGACTCGAGAAACAGAATTTTAAGATTCAAATGTATAACCTAAAAAGAAACCCCAATATGACAGTAGGTTATCAATGCCACTATTGGCTAGCAAGTAACAAACACCATAAAATGATTACAGAAAAAAATGCAATTTATGCTCTGAAGATTTCATACTGTTTATTAATTCTTCTAAATTTCATGACTACTCTATCAAGTTTTCTGACATCAGTATAGCCATACAAATAAATATAAACAGAGCTCTAGAAGAAAACAAATTTTTATTAAGAAAAAAAAAAGGAACTACTCTTTTTTCATAACATAGTAAATGAAAGGGCTTTATCTCAAAACAATCTCCTTTAGATTTAGATAACTGACAAAATGGTTCCCTCTGCTGTCCACAAAAGGTAATGCTATAAAGTTGCCTTAAAATATGTTTTCAAAGAATATAGTTTGTCATCATCAATTCTTTTTTGGGGGGGGGGGTAGTTAGGTTTATTTATTTTTAATGGAAATACTGGGGATTGAACCTAGGACCTCATGCATGCTAAGCATGCACTCTACCACTAAGCTATATCCTCCCCCCTCATCAATTCTTTTTTTTAATTTTATTTTTATTGACGTCTAGTTGATTTATAATGTTAGTTTCAGATGTACAGCAAAGAGACTGAGTTATACATATACATACATATACATATGTATACATGTAATATATTTTTTCAGATTCTTTTCCATTATAGCTTATTACAAGAAACTGAATATAGATCCCTGTGCTATACAGTAGGTACTTGTTGTTTATCTATTTTATATTTAGTAATGTGTATCTGTTAATCCCAAACTCCTAATTTACCCCTTCCACATCATCATCAGTTCTCAAATGACTTCCTAAAACACAAAGATTTAATTTGCAAAAGCAACAGCTAAAACAAACAAGGGATCAAACCCTTTTCTTTTACTCTAAGAAAAAAAATGATTCTATTCGAGAAGGTAGCTAGCAGAAAATGGCCTTTTCACCTCACTCTGCTTACCTACTTACCATATGGTTCTCCTTACAGGTTATTTCTCCCTAGTCTCAGCATTATCTGCATTACCCCTCTGGCATATTTTTACCCTTGTAGTCTCAAGGTTCCTTCTCTCCCGTTCTCATATCTTCACTCAAATGGCACCTTCTCACCAAGACCTTCCTGGCCAACTTATCTAAAATGTTACCTTCCCTTTTCCTTAGCATGTACAACTATCAAACATAAGATACATGTATTTAATATGGTTTACTATACATTTCCCCAGCTAGAAGGTAAGCTCCATAAAGGCAGTTTTTTAACTGCTTTGTTTATAGTTATATTCCCAGAGTGTACATCTGACCACAAACTTCTAACCTTTAATTTCTACTTCCTTACTTTTAATCAACTACTTCTTTGACCTCATCAAGAATTCAAGTCCCATAGCATTCATTTATTCATTTACAAATATTTACTGAGTGCCTACTACACCAGATACTACTGAAGGTTCTTGATATATATTAACTAGCAAAATAGACAAAAGTCCCACCCTTGCAGTACTCCCATACTAGTAAAGAGAAAAATGAGGAACATAATAAATAAGTAAAATATATTCTATGTTACAAATGGTGAGTGCTATGTAAAAAAAAAAAAAAAAAGGCATCAGAGCAGAGTGAAGAAGATCCAGAGAGCAAAGTAGGGGAGAAGTTGTGCAATTTTAAGTAGGGTAATCAGGACAAGCCTCATATGGAAGGTGACATGCGAGCAGAAGCCTGAAAGTGGTGATTATTAACATGCAGTTATCTAGAGCAAGAGTATTTCAGGCAGAGACAACAGGCAAGGGCCAAGGCCCTAAAGCAGGAGATGTGTCCAAAATGTTTGAAGAACAAGTGTGGCTAAAATGAAGTATGCAAGTGGGAAGGCAGTAGGAAACCAGGTCAGAGAGATAATGAGTGGTCGTATCATGTAGAGGTATAGATGCCACTGTAAGGACTCTGGCTTTTACTCTGAATAAAACGAAGAGCCTCTGCATGGTTTTGAGCAGAGGAGTGACATAATCTCACTTTTGTTTTAAAAGGAATTCTTTGATTGCTGTGTTGACTACAGACTATAAGGTTACAAATAAAGAGACTAATGAAGAAGTTACTGTAGTAGTCCTAGTGAGAGATAAAGGCAGCTTGTACCAGTCTAATAGAAACTGAGATGGCAAGAAGTGGTCGGATTTCAAATATATTTTGAAGATAGAGCAGGTAGTTCCTTATGGAATGGATGTGGTGTGTGAAAGAAATAATCACCAAGGTTTTTGGCCCAAGCAAGTGGAAGGATAGTTGCAACTTCCTGATATGAGAAAGGCTGCAGGTGGAGCAGCCTGATATATCTATTAGACATCCAAACAGGGATACTGAGTAGGTAGGCTGGATATACAAACCTGAGTTGGGAGCAAAAAGTCTGGATTGGAAATACAAATTTGAAGGCCATTTGCATATAAATTGTACTTAAAGACAGGAATTAGATGAAATCACCAAGGAACTAATACAGATCAAGCATTTCTCAACCTTGGCACTACTGGCATTTGGGGCCAGAACATTCTGTTGTAAGGTTTGTTCTGTGCACTAGGATGTTCAGTAGCATCCCTGGTCTCTACTCCCTAGGTATAAGGAACAACACCCCCCAAGCTGTGACAACCAAAAATGCCCCCTGTTCAGATCCACTGATAAAAGAAGAGGACCAAACACTCTTAACATTCTATCACACTCTTTCACATCCACATTACAGAGCATTATGTTACCACTTTCTTTTCAGCACCCCAAACCAACTTATCCCCTTGTCCTTGTTCTGTTATGTCCAAACGTTAGTTCAGTATTCCCATCCACTTTAATCTATTTATACTTAATTGCTGAGCACTGCTGGAGAAAAGTCCCACATGCTTATTACATACAGTGCTACACATATTTAGCCTTCATCCTCAAGTGAACTCTCCAAAATACAGTCATGTGTCCCTAGGTCATCCCCTTTCCCATCCCATACGGCAGCTATTCCAAACCTTTATCATTTGCCTTAAGACTAATAATACATTGTTTCCTCATTATACCTTTATTATTTTATTTGTTAACTGACTTTCTCCCCAGCCAGAGAGTAAGCTCTCTGCTTTAGTGCAGGAATATAATAGACTTTCAATCCACATATGAACCCTTCCCTCCAGCCTGTCAGTTTCCTATTTCAGAGTAAACTGAGGCCACCAGGAGTGAACTCTATCAATATTCTGCCATGATTCTGAGAACATTTTTTTTATCTGGTCTTCAGTTCTTGCTAACATAACTGATGAACTTCCTATCTACCGAATAGTCAAGAATTGACTTTCCTTGTAATTGACCTCTATGAAGTACCTGATATTGGTACTTACACATCATAATGGTGAGTGGGTATTTCTCAAGGTTCTAAACTTGACACTCCTCTCTTCTCCTTCTACATATTCTCTTTGGACTAGGTCATTCATACTCAAGGCTTCCATCACTATCATTTAAGCTAAAAACTCTCAATTCATATACCCAAGCCAAACATTTCTAAGTTCTAAATACTTTATGCTCAACATCTGGTGTTAGTCATCTCTCCTCATACTTCCTAGAGACACTCCAACATGTCCAAAACTAAATCCATCTTCTCCCTCTATATGTATTCATCTTCTTGTACTCCCCATTCTTTCTTCATTCATCGAATGAACATGTACCAGGATCTATGATAGGCACTACTGAGAATGCAAAAACATGTTAACTTCTCAAAAGGAACTCTGTCTAGGAAGCAAGAGACAGTGAAATTAATAATATAATCCAACACCTACGAAGACTGACATATGCACAAGGTGCTACAGATGTGTAAGAATGAAGAGGGGAAATTAGGGAAGGTATTTTTGAAGATTTAATGCCTGAAATGAATCTGAAAAGAAAAACAGGAGTTATCCAGAGATAACCAGCTCTAAAAAGAGGAACATGGTATCGACAGGCTATTATGAGCAATTTAGAACATAAAATCTATAGCAAGGAGTAGCAGCTGTAAACCAAATCACACAGCACCTTAAAGGTCATATTAACAAACTTTTATTTCATCCTGAGTGCAAATGGGAACTTCAAAATAGTTTTAAGTAGGAAATGATGTGCTAAGGCTTCTGTGTCAGATATTTCTAACAGTCATGTTTAAGGGTGAAAATTAGAGGCAGTTATAAGGCTAGTTGAACCAGTCCAGGCATGAGGAAAGTCTGTACCAGAAGCAATGAATGACAGTAAGGTTAGAAAGAAAGGATGTGACAAAGAAATAATTGGCAAGCTAACTGGGTGGGCTTTCCTAATTAATTGGCTATCCAGAGGCCAGGGTCAAGGAGGAGTGAGGATTTAAGATGGCTCCTGGCCAAGTTTCAAGGTTGGCTGAAAAGGGTATCCACAAATCATAAGGAGTAAGAAAAGAAACCCAACTGAAAAAGAGACAAAGGCTATAATCAGGCACTTCACAGAAAAATAAAAGGCCATTAAACACGTTTTAAAAGCTCCATTTCACTGGTAATCAGTTCAGTGCAAATTACAATGAGATACCATTACCATCCCCACCTCCAAAAAAAGATCCACAAAATTTTAATAGATTGATAATATTCAATTTTAGTGAAGGTGTGGGAATGTGAACATATCTATACACTAATACTGCGGCATAGTTTGGAACACCTTATTAAGGTGCAATTTAATGGTATATTTCAACACTTAAAGCATACATTCCCTTTGAACCAGGAATTCTACTTCTAAGAATATGGCCATTCACACTTATACAAAAATCTCCATATGAGAATGCTAATTCTGGATGGTTTAAACAAGAATATGAAGGCAACCTAAATATCAATCCTTAGGGAGAGGTTAAATCAGTTATGGTAATCCATACCACAGAGGAGCACAATACAACCTAAAATATATATGAAACGAAAAGATTTCCAAAATATACATATTTTAGGGGAAAAACTAAATCACAGAATATATTCTAATTTCTGTTTAAGAAACAAAAGCGCATATATGGTTTTGAATGCATAGATAAAGGTCAAGAAGAACATTTTGTAGAGAAGAGTAGAATGGAGGAATGGATGGGATAAATGGACATGGATTTTTTTACTTTGGCTAAGTGTATAGTTTGATTTTTTTCCCCAAAGATGAATTACTTTTATAATTAAAAAAATGAAAAATATAATGTATGTGACATGTGGCAAGCTGATAAAGCAATTTATTAAGTAAAATAGATCCAATGGCTTTTCTAAAGTCACAGCCCAGTTAATAGGTATTTAATAAAGACTACTGCTAAACATCTGTTTTGTTATTAGCTATCCTCACATATAGTTTACACAGTGCCTAAAGGGAATGTATTCACCTGTATCCCTTGCTGGTAGGACAAGCCCACTTTCAGCATTCATGATGCTCAAAGCTACAAAGAATTTTTCTTTGCAATACAGGAGTCATGTCAACTGATGTTTCACATCTTTATGTCTTTAATCTTGAAAAGTTTTTTAAAACTATGATCAATTCCTGCTATGAATGGTTGTAATAAAGTTTAGGTGACTGAAAAAGCAATGAGGACAGAGTGAGAAAGAAATATTTTGACCCATAATTTAACTAAAACTTGGCTTTCATTCATTATTTCTTAACACAGTGTACTCTTTCAACATTTTCTCAAGAGCATAAGCTATTTTTGGAATTTTCCCTCTCTGTTATATAACAAGTATTTCCTTATAACAAATTCTTTCTGACAACTGTTTTTAACATTCTTTTACTTATGCAACCAAATTTCTCCAAGTAACTTTCAAGTGATTTTTTTTTGGTCCCATCATTTCCTCCAATATCAAAGGGACAATTAACATAGCAAACCACGGGGAAGCTTCATTTATGAATGTAAATTAAAAATAGTAACTGGGGGAGGGTATAGTTCAGTGGCAGAGTGCATGCCTAGCATGCACAAGGTCCTAGGTTCAATTCCCAGTACCTGTTTTTAAAAACCAAAACCAAAACCAAAACTAAAATTACCCCCCTAATTAAAAAAAAAAAAAAGTAACAAACATTTGCTTCCAGGAGAGCACCCCTTTCACGTCTAAGATCAAGAAAGAAGGTACTAATTCATTTTGACTACTGGATGATTTAATTGAGCCTTTTTTATGACTTGCTGTTGTGGGCTAAATTGTGTCTCACCCTCCCACCACCACCACCACCAAAACTCATGTTTAAGTCCTAACCCCCAGTACTTCAGAATGTGATTGTATTTGGAAATAGGATCTTTAAAATGGTAATTATGTTAATTACAGTGGGCCCTAATACAATATGATTGGTGTCCTCATAAGAGGAGGAAATTAGGACACAGACACACAGCTCACGTGAAGACCCAAAGAGGAGAAGACAGCTATCAATAAACCAAGGAAAGGGGTCTCAAAAGAAATCAAGCCTGTTAACACCTTGATCTTGACTTCTAACCTCCAGAGCTGTGAGAAAATTAATTTCTGTTGTTTAAACCACTGTTATGGACTGAATTACATCCTCCCAAAATTCATAATGGGAAGCCCTAACCCTCAATGTGACTCTACTTAGAGACAAAGCCTTTAAAGAGGTAATAAAGATTAAGTGAGGTCAAAAGGGTGGGGCCCGAAGCCCACAGGGCTAGTGTCTTTACAAGGAGAGGAAGAGAAACCAGAGATCCCTCTCCTTTCTCCCATGCACAGAGAAGAGGCCATGTGAGGACATAGTGAAAAAGTAGCCATCTATAAGCTGAGGAGAGAGGCCCACCAGAAACCAATCCTGATGACACTAGTCTCCAGAACTGTGAAAAAATAAATTTCAGTTGTTAAAGCAACCCAGTCTGTGGTACTTTGTTATGGCAGCCCTAGCAGACTAATACACTTGCAAATCAAGTAATTTAAAAGGCATTTTTGCTTTTCCATGTCAGAAGACAAAGCATTTAAGCATCCTCATTAAAACAATAAAACCACAGCCCAGTTGATGGAAGCTTTTTATAATATCTTTCTTACCTTCTTAAAGAATGTTGCAGGTGCCATTTCAGATGCACTCAGTGTACGCAAGAGGAACATTGGCCAAGATGATGCATTCATCTGATACCCTATTTTATAAAATAAAGCAGATATCATTTCTTTAAAAGCCTCCCTCTGATATTATAGCAAGTTGGTATAAAAAATGTTTCATATATGATTCTTCTCCAGAGAACGACTTTCTTATCAAGAAACTCAAGAAATGGGCAAGAGGAGCAGACGCACCCTCCAACCAGTGCTACTTGTATCCACTGTACTGTTTGACAAGTGCTACAGTAGGGGTAGAAATTCTCATTTTAAAGAAGCCACTGGCTAGGGTTCACCAACATACACATGTATGTTGGGAATGGACCATAATACTAGGAGTCATCCAAGCCAGAACACAGGAGAGCTCCCATTCCCCATCAACAGCCACATAAGCAGGGTAAAAAGGCCGCAAAAGACTTCTAGTCCCTTTTTTCCTTCAGAGCCCCTGCCTCATTTCCTTTCAGAAAGACAGTTTTCTGTCAAACTCAACAAATGTACTGTTATGATGGTGCATTTCACTGTATATAAGTTTCACCTCAAAAGAAAAAAACGGTAAACAAACACTAAACTCTGGTTAATGATACGCATGCTAAAGTATTCAGGGGAAATGCACTGATGTCAATAACTTATCCTTAAGTGCATTAAAAAATAAGATGGATTAATGAATCGATAGAAGGGCAGATGGATAGGTAAGTGATAAAGCAAGTATAGTAAAATGATAATGGGTAGAATCTAGGTAACAGGTTATGAGGGGTGTTCACTGAAAAATTCTCTCAGCTTTTCTGTATGCTTGAAATTTTTCATACATTATGTTGGGAAAAAAGACAGCTCTTACCGTAGCAATCGTTATATACACTAAATGATCTTTTCTTAGATTTTGTAACACATGCTATCAAAAATAGACTCAACAGGTGTCTTTTCTAGAGACCTCATCAATTAATGGCGAATATCACAGCACCTGGCACATGCATCGGGGGCAGGGGTCTGTTAGTTTTACTGCTCTCTGGGGGCAATCTGTTACATGCAACATTTGCCTGACTTGATTCCAGAATTGGTGACAACCTGGCATGCATCCCTGATGGATACATGGATTAAGATAGGGAGGCACGTGAATCACACTGGCAATGGATCCATCAATAGGATAAAACATGCAAAAAAGTTCAGAGAGTCATCTTACAATATTTTTGTACCAAGCCAAAACAGCCTTAATCTGGCTAGGAAAATAATTGTTGCAAGGAAAAGAGTGGGATGGGGTGGGCTTGCTCCATACTCCTTTATAATAAATCAGTATTATTAGTGATCTATAATAAATAGCTACCCACAGCATGGATTCTCCACACTGTGGTTACAATAGTGCATAAGAATCATTCTCTGGTCCTCATGCCTTTCTTTTAACCCCCATTTTACCATGTTACATGATGTATTGTGATTTTTTTTAATTTGGCATTTTTTCCTAATTCTCTACTTGCCTAAAATCAAACAGATTAAAAGGCTAAAAGCAGATGAAAGTGCATGTAAAAAACTCATATAAAACTAATCTACGATGTTAGGAAGTTTGGAAAGTAGTCACCTTTGGGAAGCAGGAGGTTATGACTGGGAATCAGTAGGAGTGGGCTTCTAGGGTGCTAATGTTCTATTTCTTGATTTGGGTGTTGGTTATACAAGTGTGTTCATTTATAAGACGTATACTTATGTAAACTTTTCTGCATGTATGTTAAAACTTTTAAAAACCTTTTAAATAATAACCTTTAAGGGTTAAATGAACCTTTTAGAAAGGAAAGTTAAGGTGTGTTACATTAAAATGGAAACTAAACTGTTCAAAAGTGCCTAATAAGCAAATTGGCAAAAATTGTATGTGAGGGGTGGTAATCAAGTCTGCTTATTTTATTTATTTACTTATTTACTTATTTATTGGAGGTACCAAGGATTGAAAAATTGTGTATTTTCATATATACTATCAAATACATATATTAATCTAAAAGTAATTTGAAAAGAAGAATGATTATAAATCTGGTTACATGTTTGAAATGCTGACAGTAGCAATAGCTTTGTTTCCTTTAAACAAAATACAAACACATACTATCATTGTAAACAGAGAAATAAAATCCAAACAGGGTGGCAGTAAGCCTGATTTACATTCATATCTCTTACAGAATTCTGTATGATTTAAGAAATAATATAAAAATAAGCAACAAAAAATGTGAATGATATGAATAAAGAAAAGAAGGGGAAAATCAGAAAACACACACACCCTAAACCATCTTCTTGGAGTAACACATCTCCAATTAGTTTTTTAAAACATTTTAAACCAAATTAGAAATAATTAACAATTGGAGCAAGGACAGCATAAAAAGATACTGCTAAAAGAGTAGTTATTACTATCTTCAATTTTTGGTTCTCAGGGAATTTTTCACTAGTAGGAGACAAAAAAGTCCATTCTCTCACCTTGCTTTTTAATAGAGAATTTTCATTTTCAGCATTGTAAAAACAAAAAAATAAAAACCAATACCCATAATTCACTCAGAATGTAGAAGTAATAAACTAAACCACTTATTTTGCACAGAATATCATGGTATGCCTAAGTATTCAAAGAGAAAATTTTTGCCCCAAATTAAGGTTACACACTTTTTACCTTTTAAAAACTTGGTCAAAATTGAGAGGTTTGTATTAAAAAACCTTTGCTGAAGAGTTTCATTCATCCCCTCCTTTTCGAAGACCTAAAGGTATTGATTCCTACCCCTCTCACTATGATTTCTTCCCTCTATAGGTGTAATGAAATTCCCAGGTCTGAAACTGGAGTCTGGATGCAAAATCATACCCTTTCGCTGTGCTCATCCCTACACTAAAAATGTTGAATGGCTCATTTGACAATATTGAGGGAGGAAGTGACTCATATCAAATGCTACAAACTTCTCCTCCAGAAGGGTTTCTGAATCCGCATGTGTCATCTAGTAGACCCGCTTCTGACAGTTCAAGTTTAAAGACAGGCAAGTCCTATTCTGGAGTAGGGAAACTTTAGCATACATATGCAAAATGTATATTTAAGCGAAACTCTTTAACATATGGTACTAAGTTCCTCTCTCATACATTCTTCACAGTAACCACCTAACCATCTATCTACTTGCAAGATTGCATAGGAGAAGAGATTTTTAAAAGGCCACTTAAAATTATTTCTACTGAATATTACATTAGCAAGAATATGTTATTTTAAAAACTGTTTATCCTTACCCAGTGGAGGTTGAAGTAAGTCCCCTTCCTTTTCACATGTCCCAACAGGCTGTATGTCCGGAGAATCGACAAGCCGCCAAAAATCATTTCTGTTGTCACTACCATCCAGTCTTAAACGTAACCTGGCACCAGTAATTCCAACGACTGTGGCAATACATATTGAAGTCACATTCCGAGGGTCATGAGCTTCTAATTTCATACCAACTTTGAAGTCATTAGCTGGTGGAATCTTGGACTATATATATATACACATATAGATAAAATGTTGTTAAATGCATCAACCATAAGAAAATCAAATGGTCAGTTATGTTACTAGAATACCTGAGGAATGTTTTAAGTAACAGTCACAGCAGATGTGAACAAAAAGAGTTACAAGGGTTAAGGAAAAGATCTCCAAACCCTCTCCTTGGCTTGACATGCAGCTTGACTTGGCTGCCCATTGCTGATCTTACTCATCTGCCCACTTCCAGTCAGCCCCAAAACAGCCTTCAAAATGCACCCTGAGTGGCAGTCTAAAACAAGAATCTGATTAGGCCATTCTTCAAATAAACCAAATGGCAGTTCACCACTGCCTAACATAAAGTCCAAATCCTCAATACAGTTTAAAAGCCACCACACTTAACCTCATTCCCACACTATCACCTCTATCCACTTTGTGTTCCAACCACCCCATGCCATCCTGCAATAATCAGGTTTTTTTAGACCCATGTGCCTTTGCTTTGTATGGTTTCTCTGCCTGGAGTATCCCTCCCCCCATTGCAACCATCTCAGATAGCACCTCTTCTGTAAGTCCTCCCAGTATTGTTATCACACTTCCCATAATTATTTACACGTCTTTCCCTCCAGAGAGGCAGTCATAAGGGCTTAGTAGACCTGACATAAATTAAATCCTTAACAAGTGAATGCAAAGAGACCATCTGGTTCTTAAGTGGCACTACCACAATCCCACTATCTCCTCACACTACCAGAACCTAACAATCAAACAAGTTAATAGTTTACATCAGTAAATACAACACAACATCTACAGAATTTTGGCATACCTGTCTGAAACACTCTGAAGGAGCACTTAAAGATCCAGTCTCTTTCAAGTAATTTTCCCAGTGGAAATCATCTGGGAAAAAAACATGTACAAGATAGTTTTTTAAATACATGTATAGTACCTTTCAGGAATAAAACGGGTTTTAGTTCCGTGTCTCAAAAAAAAAAAAAACTTCCTAAAGAATGATTCAAACTTCCTGATATACATTTGACTACCAGCATGGAAGTAAAAAATTAGACAACTTCCTGATAACAAGGGCTATGATATAAATTACAATCCAGATCTTCTCGATGTAATGAAGACTACAGCAGAGTCATTCTAAAAATGTGAACTCTAGAAACAACTAAAGGACTTTTTACAGAGCAATAGCAAATTCTACTCATTTGTCTCTAATATAAATTTACTCAAAATGTGTTTTTACCATTTCATCCCATTAATGTGAAGGTGCTTCTTCGTTTTTCAGAAGGATCTAAAGGTTTTTAGATGTGTGGTCTAGCAGAAATAAAGCAATGCTTTACAGAAAGAAATACTCTGAGAACCAGCATTGTTTCTCAAGTGACTGTAAGATCTCCATCCAGGGTGTCAAGAATATGGTGGCAGAACAAAGCAGTAAATCAATCATCAGTGTGATGCCTGATACGGATTAATGATCTACATTTTCTACAAACTCTTGCTGTCCTTTCTCTCATTTAGTCTTCACGATACATTATAATGCTAGAAGAGAAGGTCAGAAAGCAGTATACTTTGCCTGGCTTGAACACTTCAATTCACTGAACCAGTCACACTGCCAAGAAACTGAGAGAAAGACTTGACAGCAGTATTAAGAGTACTATTAATTCATACAAAGTTTAATTTTCATCAATCATGAAGGTTTTTTCCTATATTCTTGTTAATTTTCTCACAATAAAAATACTGGGTTTGACAGTTTCCTCCCTACAGGAATCTGTGTTACCAGCCTCTTATATACCATTCAAAGGATACAACACGTCCACTTACACACACACACACACACACACACACACACACACACACACAGTGCTGATAAATGTTTAACAACCAGCTTTCCAGATAATACAAACAAAAAGCCTGATTGGTAGTGTTTGCAGATTTCTGTGGTGTAAAAACTACACCATGGATGACTGAAAGGTGCTAAGGCAAAATCACCAACCACAAAGTTAGGAAGAAATGTATACAACTGGCTCTCCCAAGCTTGTGTGAGCCAGCTTCATAATACCACTGTTACATGTAAGTACTTATTTACATGTGCTTGTACACATATTATACATAGTATTAAGTATGTCATATATAACACTGTACATCTTTTTTTAAACTTAACAATGAGTTTAAGAGATTTTTCCACTAAAAAAAAATACTGGGTTTAATTCTGCTTCTAGATAATGTAAAGCAAGCACTACCACAGTACTGAAAGGTATGCATAAGAATGTGAAGAACATAGGCTCTGGAGTAGAACCTGCCATCTCTCAGTATGACTCTGCCTCTTACTAGCTATGTGACCGTGAGCAAGTCATTTCACTTTTTCAGCCTCAGTTCCTTCATCTACAAAATGAAGAAAGTAATATATATGGTATAAGGTATTTTGAGAACTAAGTGAAGTAGCATACATGTAAATAACTCAATAAATGGTCTGTGTTGTTGTTATAAAACTAAATGTCATAGTTGTGCCTAAACTTATGAACACTGGATAGCTTTATTAAAAGTGAAAATGGAGATTCGTGGCTCCAAAATTTAAATGACAGGTTATTTCAGTGACCTTCTAAGTACTAACCTGACAGTCAAGAGACTCAAGGTGATACCTGAAGCTCTACCACCATATGATCTTGGAGAGCATTAAAAAAAAAATTAATGGGGGGAAAATCTGACTAGGATATCATTAAGGAGCCACTATACCAGGAAGAAAGGAGTATAAGTTGAAAATAATGTCTGAGAAATCAAAACCATTTCACAATTACATCTTAAAGAACTTAATTAAGACTCTTTCACAAACCAGTTACATTTGTAAATTTTTTCAATGACATTGGAAAATACTTACTCCATCTCCCTAACCCAATTATTAAAATATTATATTACCACTTGTGCCTTAATGGGCTATCACTTGAGCTAGCAAATCCTTTATACCAGTGCTCCATAATATGATTATTTTCTATTGCACTGTTAGCTAATGACCATATATAGCATTTAACCATTGGAGCCTTAAGTTTTTCTTTATTCATAAGGCAAAAATTTTAGTCCACAAAACCGTTCAGCTTGGCTGCCCATATGATGAGACCCTACCAATAACACAGGGGAAACACACATAGCAACAGGCTTTACTAACTTAGATTTGATACATCTACAATACCACAGCTGGAATTCCTGACTAGGAGCCAAAATAGTCAGAAAGTCTCAGCTAAGCCTGAGGTCCCTGTCTGCCTCTGTACCTTATTCTCACTGACAGATTGCTGGGGCAGGGGCTGGGGAGGAGAGGAGGGTCAATCTCTCTCAGAAAAGAGGTCTGGAAACCGACAGGTTTCTTCATGAGACAGGTGTACATATATAACTTTGTGATCAGATTGTTACCCACATATGTTCATGGTCCTTCCTGTTTGACTTGTACTCTATTCTAGTCCATACATTAGCCCAAACACCTTTTAGCAAACTAAACATAATCCACAAGGCCCCCCAGTCTTCTCCAGGGTACATCAAAACCATGTCTTCCACCAGTGTTAAGCTTGGTTCAGAGGCTACGTAAAGAAAATGGGCAAAGTACACAGAGTTCAAAGCTTTTCAGCTGAATAATTTGCACCCACTACCTCATAGCATTTATCACAACTGTAACTGGGCTTCTGTTTAATGTCTACCCTGCATCCTAAGCTCAAAGAGGGCAGGAATCATGTCTGTCTTATTCATCATTGGATTCCCATAGAAGGTCATCAGTACGTTCCAGGCACTGTCCTAGGTATTGCAGATACAATAGTTAATTAAACAGACAAAAATCCTGGCTCTCTTGGAGCTTACCTTCTAGCAGTCACTCACTGACTTCTAAAATGAGATGTTAGGGTCAAAGACCTGAGAAATACCTGCAGTTGTCTGTCAATTAGATTAAGTAATCTCATTTTTTAAATCAGAATTTCTCAAACAGAAAAGTCTAAGAATTCTGAAAAGTTACCAGTTTCAACCTTTAAGAATATGTATTTTTAAAATTTATTCTTATGAAATTTCCAGAATAGGAAAATCTAAAGAGACAGAAAATAAGGGGATGCCCAAGGCTGGGGGAGGGGAGGGGCACTGGGAGAAAATGGGGAGTGACTACTAGTTGGGTACAGGATTTCTTTTTAGGGTGATGAAAATGTTCTAAAATTGGTAATAGTGATAGCTGCACAGCTCTGTGGATATACTACTGAGAACCACAGAACTATATACTTTAAATGAGTGGATTGTATGGCATATGAATTATATCTCAATAAAACTGTTATTTTAAAAAAAAAAAGGAAAAGAATTTAGAGGGATAAGGAAGAACATTCTAACCTAATGGGCTCCATTTCCTTGGAGGATTCTGGGGGTTGGAGGGAAGAGCTAAAGAATAAATAAGGCCAATGAGAAAGAAAACTAAGGAAGCACTGAGGGCCCAGCTTTACGTGAAAAAGAATGATTCCATTAGGATTACTTCTGTAGGCAATCTTCCTGTAGGAACAGAAAGTCACGGTAAACTACTTACTTCAAGAGTGCGGCTGGCAGGGCAGACACAACAGAAAGATAAGAAACAAGAGGTTTGCCTGGAAATCTCTGGTAAACACAGTAAGTTTGCTATAGTATGTTTTAAATTCAGTCTTTTGGGTTCATATGACTTATTTTCTCATTTTCCTTAAGAGCAAGTGCAATGGGTCAGATTCTATCTCCTGAGTCTCTAATGCAGTGCTATACACATGCTGTTCACAGTAAGAAACTTAAAATATGAATTAATAACTCACAGTTAATTAACACTTACTCTAAGTCTAGGCATTATATCAGATGCTTTACATTCATTTCCTTTCATTCTAATAGTTCCACAAGGTAAGTAGTATTACCTCTGTGCTACAGAGGAGAAAAAAGAGAATAAGAATGTTGAGTAATTCGCCCAAGGTCACAAGGCCAGTGAAGAATGAGGCCAAGATTCTAGAATAGGTCTGCTAGACCTCTGCAATGCCTAAGCTTTAATCTACTACATTGTTTTCTGACCACCAAAATAGGACTTTCACGCTGACTCTAATGTTAAGAGTTTTTTTTAGTTAACAATCAAATTATTTCAAATTAGTAATACATGGTAATTAATAACTAGATATATTTAATTTAGCAAAATTTGCATTGAAATACATGTTTATGTTTCTACTTAATCCCATACCAATTTATCCCTATGTGAAACCAAAGTAAGATTTTCAAAATGAAATACTATCTTTCTGAACTTTGCTATTGCTCAGATTTTATATTTACAGTTTACTATACATAGATGATACCAAAAGCAATAAGAAAAGAGTTCATATTAACACTGAGTGAGGAAGAAAAATATGTTGTACTGAACTAATTTAAAACCTACCATTCTGCACAGAAGATGTGCCTGAGTGAGGAGCTTTCTCTTGATTCTCCTTCTTTGCATCCATTGACTCTTAAAGATAAAGAACGGAAGAAAATAGTGAACAATACCAGAAGGCCATAGCAACAGTCTGAAAGAGCACTTACAAAAACTATAAATTAAAACTATTTTCCAATAGGAGCCAGTTTTAATTTTATAATTAATACCCTCATTTTCTGCACAAGACTTTACTTTCTAATACACTATGTAACTTATAATTTGTTTATTTGTTTACTTTATGCCTCACTCCACTCAAATGTAAGCTCCAAAAGGGCAAGGATTTATTTATTTTATTATGTCTCTTTTGTATACTGCTGAAACCTCAGTGCCTAGAACAAGACATGGCATGCAGAACACCTTGATGCATTTGTTAAATGAATGAATGAACAAACCAAAATGAGCTGGGGTGATCAGTACAATGTTCAAATTAATGTGCCCTAGAAATAAAGTGGATGCGTTTGAGAATTTAAAACAACAAGGAAGCTACGATACAGTGTAATTCAAGGACTAGGCAGTTTTTCTCTGTGCCAAACTGAGGAGCTCAAATAGCACTGGACCTTGAGACTTCATCAAATCTAAGATGTTATTTCATCCACATTTATTACAGCATACATCTCTTAAAGGACTCATTTAAAAATTAATCATAATACTATTATGCTGAAACAATTAACCACAATTCCTTAAATATTATCAAATAAGTAGTCAGTGTTCTTATTTTCCCAATTGTCTTTAATATTTTAAGTGTGTCTGTTTCAATCGGGACCCAAATAAAGTCCACACATAGCAATGGTAGATACATTTCTTAAATCTCTTTTGAGCATAAGCTCCTCCTCCTCCTCCTCTTTTTCTTCCCCTCTTTCTCTAGCAATTTTTTTGTTAATGATACCAGGTCAGAGTTTTCCAGTCTGGATTTTGCTGACTACCTCCTCATGGTGCTAGAATCTTCTGATCTTTATATTTTCTCTAAATTGGTATTGATATTTCGATCCAGAAGAGCTTAATCAGATTCAGGTTTGGCTTGAGGGTGGGAGGGAGAAGATGACTTCATTGGTGGTCTCGTGTACTTCTCACAGGAGGTTCCTTATACATCTGGTTCTCTCTCCTGTTGTGATATGAGCAGCCATGGATGACTATTGCCTAGATCCATTAGTTCATTAGTGGTTGCAAAATTGAGGTATTCTAATTTTATCATCCTGTCTTATTAGCCAGAGAACTTCTACAGAGAGAAATCTCCTCTCTTCCACCACTGAGTTACCCTGAGGTACAGATCACAAAGGGAAGTCACAATCAATGCTTTATTCTTTTCCTTTATTTTCTAGTTTTCAAAATAATGAGATGGATCCCTAGCATTCTCCACAGATGACCAGTAAGTTTTATTTTGTTTTTTTAAATATCACTATAAACTCATGAATTGAACCACACTTGATGTGTTTCCATTTATTGCTATTTTATCCTTATTAATGCTCCAATTGTCAAGTAACAAGTTTCTTAAAGAAGAATCTATCAATGATACCAGGTATACTATTTAATAACAGATCTACTTTCTGGTTATAACTGAGTGACTCTTCAAGATACGTGAACACTCCAGGGGGATATATGGGCTGCTTTCTATTTAAATAATTTGACTAAAGAAAGTACACATTTATATTTACTATATCGTCCTACAGTAATATTTTCTAATAGGAAAGAAAGTGAAATTATAAAAGCATGGTTCCTGCTCTAAAGAAGCTAACAGTCTAGTTACAGAGACTATACTAAATTGATACACTTGACAAAAATGGAAATAGCAGAGGATACGTTATATTCAGCATGCAGCCAGAGAAGAAGTCTTAAGAGACACAGGACTTGAACTTGGTCTTGAAGGAAGAACAGGATATAGGATGGCAAAGGTATGAAGAATGTATTATGGGAAGGAAAATACCACTCAAAACAGAGTGCGCAAATGAGTGTGGCATATTCATGGGACAGTGAGCAGACTTCTCACTAGGGCAAGACAGGATGAAGTATTTTTTTTAATCACCCATATTAGAGTAATAAAATTTGAACTCTGATCTTGGCTGTCACAGATTGTTACATGACCTGTTCACTTAACCTCCCTGAGTTTCAGCTTTCTCATTTATAAAACTAAGAAGGGAAGACAAGACTACCTTTAATAGCTATTTAGTTCTAAAATTCCAATTCTAAGCACCTAACACCTTCTATAATTTTATTTTATTTTTTAAACATTTTTATTGAGTTATAGTCATTTTACAATGTTGTGTCAAATTCCAGTGTAGAGCACAACTTTTCAGTTATACATGAACATACATATACTCATTGTCACTTTTTTTTTACTGTGAGTTACCACAAGATCTTGTATATATTTCCCTGCGCTATACAGTATAATCTTGTTTATTTATAATTTTATTTTTAAAAAGGCTTTTTTCAAACATTCAGTCTACCAGAAGATACTCATTCCAAATGAATAACCAAAAATATTTATCATCTTTAGACAAGTAAATCTTACCTTCATTGACTGTTTGCCCCATGGTATCCCTCTCTGGTGTTCTTTCCTACAAGGAGAAAATCAATTACTGCCTCCTTTTAACACATTTCTGAAGGATAGTATTATTAGAAATCAGCTATTATGGTATTACATTAAACTAAAAAGCTTGATAGGAAACTATCAACAAAATGAAAAGGCCAACTACTGACTGGTAAGAGATATTTGCAAACACTATATCCGATAAGGGGTTAATATCCAAAATATACAAAGAACTCATACAACTCAACATCAAAAAAAAAAAAAAAAAAAACGAACAACCCGATTTAAAAATGGGCAGAGGATCTGGATAGACATTTGTCCAAAAAGGTATACAAATGGCCAACAGGAACGTGAAAATGTTCAATATCACTATCATCAGGGAAATGCAAATCAAAACTTCAATGAGATATCACTTCACACCAGTCAGAAAGGCTATTATCAAAAAGACAACAAGTAAGTGTCAGCAAGGATGTGGAAAAAAAGGGAACTCTTATGCACTGTTGGTGGGAATGTAAATTGGTGCACCCACTATGGAAAACAGTATGGAGATTCCTCAAAAAATTAAAAAGAGAACTACCATACGATCTAGCAATTCCACTCCTGCATATTTATCTGAAGAAAATAAAAACACTAATTAAAAAAGATATCTGCACCTCTATGATTACTGCAGCACTGTTTACAATAGACAAGATATGGGAGCAATCTAAGTGTCCATCAACAGATGAATGGATAAGGAAGATGTGGCATATGTGCATGCGCACACACACACACGCAATACAGTATTACTCAGCCATAAAAAAGAATAAAATATTACCATTTGCAACAACATGGATAGACCTATAAAGCAATATGCTAAGTGAAGTAAGTCAGACAGAGACAAATACTGCATGATTTCACTTACATGTGGAATCTAAAAAACAACCAAAAAAACCCTAACAAAACAAAAACAGTCATAGATACAGAGAACAGGTGGTTGCCAGAGGAGGAGATAGGAGAAAGAAATAGGTGAGCGAGAGTAAGAGGTACAAACTTCCAGGTGCAAAATAAATGAGTCACTGGTATGAAATGTATAGTGTGGGGAATATAGTCAATAATCATGTAATATCTTTGTATGATAACAGATTGTAACTAAACATATTGTGGTGATCATTTTGAAATGTACAGAAATACTGAATCACTATGTTGTGTAACAGGAACTAACATAGTGCTGCAGGTCAATTATACTTTAAAAATAAACTCACAAAAAAAGAGATCAGATTTGTGGTTACTAGAGGTTGGGTGGCAGGAGGGGAAATTGGCTGAAGGCAGTCAAAAGGTACAAATTTCCAGTAAGATAAATAAATGCTAGGGATGTAATGTATCATGTGATAAATATAATTGACACTGCTGTACGTTATATATGAAAATTGTTGAGATTAAATCCTATGAGTTCTCATCACAAGGAAATTTTTTTCTATTTCTTTAATTTTGTACCTATATCAGATGATGGATGTTCACTAAACTTACTGTGATAATCATTTCATGATGTATGTAAGTCAAATCATTATGCTGTATACCTTAAACTTATACAGTGCTATATATCAATTATATCTCAGTAAAATTAGAAGAAAGTAAAATAAAATAAAAGTTAAAAAAAGAAATCAGCTATAGTTAGGTCATTTTAATCTCTGTCCCTTGGATGAAAAATGGTAAATTCAGTAGATTAGTAGTTGTCAGTAGCTGAGGGGAAGAAGGACTCAGGAGTGACTGCTAATAGGTGTGGGTATGGGTATGGGTATGGGTAAAGGGTTTCTTTTTTAAGGAGATGAAAATGTTCTGAATTAGATGGTGGTGATGGCTGCAGAACCTTGTGAATACATTAAAAACCAGTGAATGGTACATTTTAAAAGGCTGAATTTTATGGTTAAATGAATGAAAACAAAACAAAACAAAACATTGTAAGTTGGTGGAGTTGAGATTCACTAAAGCCTGTCCCAAAAGTCCACTTAAGCCCATGTTACCAAGAGGTAGAGGAATTATGACTGTATTGATGAAACTTGTAAGAACTACAAGTCAAGTCTTCTAACAAGACAATTACTTGTTAGAAAGCCTGTGTATTTTAAGCCACTAAATCATTAATTCAGACTTTTTCTGCATGTCCACAATATGCCAGACATTCTAAAACAAAGATAAATAACACACTGTACTTGACCTCTAACAGCTCTGTCTAGTCAGAAATAGGCACATGAATAAAACACAGTATAAATGTTATAAAAGAGGTATGTACATGGAAATACTGAATATGGCAAAGTGATATCTACCTCCCACTGCTCTATGCTTGTAGTCAGAACATGAGCAGGGTAGTTTGTTATTTAAAGGAAGCCTATGGAGAATATGTTCATTAAGCCACCCAAAACATCTCCTGACTCAATAGACTTACACACAAGCATCACCTCCCCAAACCTTGCTCCTTCTAACATTTTTGTTTTCTTACTAACACCACTACTTTTCAAGGTACATGGCCTTAAAACCCCACGTATGACTGAATGTGAAAGGTTCTCTTATTTCACTCATACATTCAATCAGTGGCCAATGTGTGCTCTCTCACTTTCCTTTCCCATGCCATTAACTGGTTTACACTCTCATTAGCTCTTACCTAGTCTAATATCATAGCTGCCTAACTGTCTCACCACAAGGGTCTTTCCCCACTGCAACCTACCCAACAATGTCATACATGGTCTGAGCTGTTTTCTGCCCAAATCACCCTCTTACTTCAGTAATCTCACTGACTACTGAATTGAACAAAAATATCTTCTGTGGGGCATATTTAAGGCCTCGCACAATTTCAAAGCAACCTGACTGACATTTACCACTTAAGCTATCCTGCAGCCTAGCCCAAAACTCATCACGTGGTTCTATCTGCATAGGATACCCTTCCTTCCTCTTCTGCTTCTTGAAATCCTATCCATCCTTTAAGGCTTAACATAAATGCAACCTTCTTCTCGAAGCCTTTCTTGATCTTTCTGCATTACTACCATCTGTTTCCAGATGTGATCTACTCATTTATTTAAAGAATACAGAATTCTTGTTAAGTGCTTGATGCTGTTTGGACAGAAGATACACAATCTACTACAAAAGAGCTATAAATCTGGTGGGAGACACACACTGACAAATAAATATTGAACAAAGGAGAATAAAATACAGGCTCTTTGGGAAGATAGGAGGCACAAGTAACCAGGAATATAAAAGAAGGCTTCTCAAAGGAAGTGTTCCTATAGAGATGAGCATTTCAATGAGCAGAGAAGACAGAGAGAGGAATTTCAGGCTGAAGATACAAAATGAGTGGAGGCTAAAGAGAATCCTGCTTCCTCTACTTGATTACGAAATTCTAGAGTTGCTGAGTTTCCTTCAGGGCTCTCATCTCCCTCTATAGTCTCTCAGGGTCCACAACTTCAGGAGCCGCCCATACACATATGACCTGCAAAGTATTACCTCCCCTTCACAGACCTCATCTCTGAAAGTCAGAGTGAAATAATCAAGTGGATTGGATATTCAATACCACTGTGAGGATGCTGTCAATTAAGGACTATAGCTTAGTGGCTAAAGAAAAAGACAAAGTGAAATATATAGAGGGTGCTAAATCGAAGCATAAAATAAAGGCAGATGAGCTGTAAACCAAGTGGGGAGCAAAGGGACTTAACCAACTCTAGTCAGAAAGCAAAAAGTTGTGAGTTACATTAAAGTAAGTCCCATTACTATGCAAAGGGGTTCAGTTCAAAAAACTGTGGGAGGGGTCACACATAGAAGGTATATTCAGGTTCCTGTGTCCTTCTCTAAAATCTAACCCACAACTGAATTCTTAATCTCAACTGGTATCAATTGCTCCTATTAGTTGAGCAAGTGATTTTGTAAATCCTAGAAGGTGAAAATATATGTAGAGAAATAATTAAAAGCACATCTTCAAAGGCCTAGATAAATAAATTCATGTATCATGTTCACAAGTTGGAAGATTTCTTAGATAGGCATAAAAATGCACTAACCAGAAAAGAAAATATTGATAAACTGGATTTAATCATGATTAAATTTTCTGTTTAGTCAAAAGCACTTTTTAATCAAGATGGAGTAGTATTGGCATAAATACAGGCATCTGGATCAATGGAACAGAACAGAGTTCTTAAAGATTCACATATATATGGTCAATAGATTTTCAACAAAGTGCCAAGTTAATTCAATGGAGAAAGGATAGTTTTGCTTTTTTGGGGTTTTTTTCCCTAATAAAAGATGCTAGAACATATCTACATACAAAAAAAAAAAAAAGAAGAAGAAGAAGAAAGAAAGAAAAATTATACTTACAAGTTAATAGACAAAAATTACCTTGAGCTAGATCATAAACCTAAATGTAAAGCCTAAAAGTATAAAATTTCTAGAGAACAGAGGTCTTGTGACTCTGAGTTAGGCAATGATTTCTTAGATATGACACAAAAAAGCACAAAGCATAAAAGAAAAAAATTGATAAATTGAACTTATCAAAACTAAGAACTGCTCTTCAAGTTACATTAAGAAAATAAAAGGATAAGCTACAGAATGGGAGAAAACATTACAAAACACATACCTGATAAAAGATCTGTATCCAGAATATACAAAGAACTCTGACAATTCAAATTTAAAAAGGCAAACACACCCCAATAAAAACAGAATTGGTGAAAGATTTAGACAATCACTTCGCTAAAGAAAAAACACAAATGGCCAACTAGCAAGTGAAAATATGCTCAACATCATTAGTATTCAGGGAAGCACAAATTAAAGCCACACAAAAAAATGATACACCATTACATAAATGGCTAAAATTAAACAGACTGACACTACCAAATGTTGGTGAAGACGTGGAACTGGAACTATTATTCACTGCTGATGGGAATATAAAACAAGTATTCCTATTAAAACAGAGCTTTCTTAAACAAAAAATAATCTTAACTCCAAAACCAATGTTTTAGAATTCAAAACACTGAATTTAGAGGTAGAACCACAGACCAAGGAATAAAATACTCTACCTATCTCCAGATAAAAACAGGAAAAATTCCAGACTCCTTTAGTTTGAGATTAGCCATATTAGACAAAACCAACTCTTTCAGTGTTTGGAAATGTTTCCTTTTCAATTATTATAGTCATTCAGCACCACTGAGCAGACATATCCTTTTGTGAAGTCCAAAGTCATGTCAAATAAAGACTTCAATATACAAAAAGAACTCAAACTGTTTAGGAAATGAGTCAGTGATTCAATAAGCCTTCCCTTTCAGTCATTATGATGTTAAATGCAGTGAGTTGTTGGAAGACATCATCAAAAGTGAGCTTATGTTCACTGTGGTAATTTAATGATTCTTTCAGGGTCACAATAAAATCAAAATCATCTGCCCTAAACACTCTTCTTCACTACAAACAGCCTTTATTGTTTTCCTTCTTGAGCCACGTAGCTTCCATGTTCCACTACACCAATCATTTCAATGTTAAATAGTTTTTCCTTTAAGAGAATATGATCCTGCCCTGTTTTATTTCCTTTACATATATTCCACAGCACCTAGAACAGTGCTAAGTACAAGATGGATTCAAACTGAACACCTGAGTGGATATTCACCAACCTTTAATAAAACAACACTTCGTTTCAAATATTTTGAAATTCACACACTTCACTGGAGATTTATTTTCTCTCCTGACTCTCCCCAATATTCCTACTATCCAAGTTCTAAATTTGGCAGATGCAAATATGTAAATTTTCACTTAATTTATGCACCAGATAGATACACGATCAAAGTGAATGCTTAAACTTACTTTTGAGCAAATACAGATTTTTGTGTTAGAAAACATCACTACTTAAACTATCTTAAACTTCAAACTGCCATGCACTATACAGACCAAACTGTACAGTAAAATATTACAGCTTCCTCCTTGTTACAAAAATGCCCAAATCTTAAAAGAAAGAAAAATTAAATTCTCTGATAGGAAAATGGACAATTCCATTCTAAAGAAACAAAGTTAATAAACAAACTGCTTCTCTACTGAGCTCTCAAACTACAAAAGCTAATCCATTTAACCTTGTAAAAAGGATAGTTTTTATTGTTTTACTTGAACACATGACTTATTTACAAACATGTGGGCATAATCACATATGTCAGGGGTTTATGCCCCTAAGAATCAACAAGGAAAAGCCTGTCCTCCAGGAGCTTCCCTGCAGGGCTTCCAGGCTGTGTATCCAACCAACATTTAGCAGATTATCAAAGCAAGTCTTATATAATACAAGTTGTTTACCTGCTCATCTCTCCTCATAGACTGTGAAGTGATCGAGAATACAGGCCACATATTACTTTTCCTTGTAGCTCTCCTACAGGTAGCACAAAAATTTGCACTTAAAAAAAAAGTACTCAAACGTTCTACTAGTAACTAAAATTTTACTATAAGTGCATACATAGGTCTCTATAGGATTATATGAGTAAAAGATTATTTAACCATGGAGAGAAACACAGGACATATTCTAGGTTGTTAATAAGGCTTACCAGGGAGGATAAAGACGATGGTGTGTGTGGGGCAGAGCGTTATAAATATATTTTGTGTGATATAATTCTATTTGTATAAAAATTTGTGTAAATTTGCATAAAGAAATACAAAAATATTTTGGTGAGCCTCCTTTTTTTGCATCATAGGGTGGTGAGATTTTAGGTGACCTTTATTTACTTCCTTATATTTTTATGTATTATTTGAATTCTTTACAATGGTATGTATTAAATCATCAGAGAAAGTTATTTTCACTGTGTGGGGGTGTACCCTGATAGTTTTCTTAAATAACCTCTAACTGTTGTTATATTATTAAGAAGCTCTGTATATGCAATGCTGGTCTATCACATAAGTTTTAAAAAATTATATAGTTATTGTGACGGTTACTGGTAGCCATAACAATCACATAGAAATATTATTTCTAGTGCTTAAAGCCATTACAAATTACTTCATCTCCCTGAGTCTTGGTTTTCCCATATATGAATTAAGGCTGTTACCATCTATACTTCATAGTGTAGTCATGAAATTAAATGTAGTCAGGAAATTAAATGAGATGGTGTAGGTAGAGCACCTAGCATAGTAACCTGAACAACTGGAAGCTCAAAGACTGTTTTCTATCCCACTACATCTGTCCTTATTAAAACTCCCTGAGATGAGTGTGTTTTAGGATTAATACAACAGTAATTATGTTGTAAAATGAAGCTATATTCCTACTTTGATTTCTGAACATTACTTCCTTATTCTCTTCCAAAGTACAGATTAAAAAGGTGTTGTTTAAGGAAACAAATGCTAAGTTTAAGGCACTCTTAAATTAAACAGTAATAAATAAATAAACATGTAATGCTCAGACACATAATTACCAAAGAAAGCAGCCACCATCTACCAACCAGCATTATATTCTAGCTAAAGCCAAAAGAAATCTGATGTCACCCCATATTGGATGACTTTGAGGTATTATTTCCTTTAGGGTTGGTGAGTACTGAAAATAGCTTTTGGTCCTTTGTGAACCAAAATGGCCTTTGTGGACTTGTAGAAACTAGAATAGTTTTGTTTCTTCTTTTTTACACCTTCATTATCACACTCAAAAAAATAGAATACAGATTAGTAAAGGGGGGAAAAACCCCACCTATAATCCCAGTTAAATAATACCTCCTGTTAACCATCTGGTGTATATCCTTTCAGTTTTTAGAAATCACATATACGATACACATTTGAACCACTTTCAAATGTACATTTTACAAATTCCATATACCAATAATATTCAAATGAAATTCTGCCCATATTATAAATTTATAAAGCCAATATTTTTAGCTAAAATGAAAAGTGGACAATAATAAATGTCTTTTAACAGTCAGTGTCTTATGGAATAACTCCACTATTCTCAAGATTAGCACTCAAAACAGGACAAAAGTTACTGCTTATTTTGTAATCTAAAAAGTGATCAACAACAAGGCAGATGAAAATTCATTTACTAGGATTTGGGGGTAATTTTTAAGTTTAACAAACATTATTTTTTATAATGTTGGATCTCATCAAAACTTTCCACCATTTTCTATGTAACTGTTATGTAATATACCATACTATTTTAAAAAAGGATTAGCAGTTTCAATTTAAAAAATATGCCTACAACTGGATGGGGTTTTTTTTAATTAAAAAGAGCAAATAAAAATGTACCAGTTGGAAAAAACTTAGTACTCAACCAGAATGATTAACTTCTCTCTGGTCTGTATAAGTCTCACTTCAAGATAAAAGTACATACAAACTGAATGGGAAAGATAGACGTTTTCCTAGGAATGAACACTTGGAGAAATTTGCACAAATTAGCCTTGACTATAATATGAAAAAAAAAACAGAAATTCTATTGTCACTGTTAAAATGCCCCAGCATTACAATGAAATTAATCTATGTCTTTCAGTCACAATACAAGGATAGAGACTATAGAAGTTAAAGGAATAGACCATGATCTGTTGGTAAATGATGGACAGCATCAATTCACAGTTGATTCCTCAGAATCCCTCAAATTAAGATACACTATGGAGTTAAGAACATATCTATATGGCTTACATACCAGAAAGGCAGACTGCACAGCTGTTATCTTTTTGAAAATAATATTAGGAGCTTGACTTTCTTTTAGAAATAGACACACCTCATCTCCACAGTGGTGGTCTGCAGACCAAACTGCAGAAAAACTTAACTTCGTTCTCAGTATACTTTGAGCTGCCTCAGCACTTTAAGAAAAACTCAAATAAGACCCCCAAAGTAGTTCTCCATGTTACATAGGAGAGAAAATGTTGGCAAGAAAAAAAATAAAAGCTTTATTTTTGCCAGCACTAAGAAAAGGTGTTTCACTAAATGCATGTAAGGAGAAACCTTGCTGTATAAAAAAACTGAAATATAAATAAGCCAAAAAAAAAAGTATTAAGTTACAGTGCCTGACATTGACATTTCCTTTACCAAAAGATCACAGTTACACTAAATCTAGCAACTGTATCCAGGAGACTTTGAGTAAGGATGGATAGTCTGGGATCTTTCACAAAACCATCTGTTTTGCAGATTTTATCTTAGAATTAAGAGCTGGTAAGAGATCAACAAATGTTTTGAAAGTCTTGCACTATTTTAAACCATTATCTCAATATGATTAAACAATGTAAAACAGTGATTAATAGTGGAATTATTAAGCCTAAAACTCCTATTGCTCTTATCTGATTCTGGAGAAAATTCTGTAATTTTTTTTGAAAAAGACAATTTTAAAGGACTATTTAGCAAGTTAATGGGCCTATAATTCTAAGATTAGAGGGCTCTTCCATTTGTTTGTTTGGGTTTTTTCTCTTTTTGCCTTTCCATTTTGCTTTGTTTTGAAAATGAGGTAATATTCTTGGAGTCTCTAATTAGAGATCACTACCTGAAGAGTCAATAAGCAGTAACATTTTGACAAGGACAGGAACTAAACAAGTCTGACTGGCAAAAAATTTCCCAGGGCTCTTTTTAACTTTCAGCCACTAGTCAGATGTTATAAAATGGATGGAATTACAGAAGCTCAACCTGAGAGTGTATAATTTTTATCAGTGTAGAAAAGATTCTCAACTATATTATATATTTACCAGACTGACACCTTTCCCTGATGACCAGGGTTTTGGTAATAAATATAATAATAATACGTATAATGCAAAGAGTTGCTGGGATACCTCACTTTCTGCATCTGGCCTCTACCTTCCCTCTTCTCCTATAACTGCTTTCCAAGGCCCCAGTTATCTCCCAGGCATCAAATCCTATTTTAGGTTTCAGTCCTATTTCTCCTTGACACTTCAGGAGCCCTCCACAATGTATCGGTAACCCCTGATCCCAGACACCTCTCCTCTCTGAGCCTCATTCATTATTCCCTGGTTGTCCTACCTCGATTATCCACCCCTTGTGTCTACTTCCTCCTTCTGTTGTAGCCATTGATCTTCTCTAGTCACTCAGTCTCTTCCTCTAGATTCTTCAAATTTTAAAGTCCAGAATTTCATTCTATTCCATGGCTGATGCAACATCCTTATGTAGATGACTTCTGTATCAGCATCTCTATTCCTAGTCTCTCTCCAAAATTTCTAGTCTAGCCAATTGAACATCAGTCTAAATGCCTCACAACCACCTCAAACACTACATATTTTAAAAAATCAAACTCTTCTGCCTTCTAAAATGAGCTCCTCTTCCTCTGTCTCCTATCTTAACAGACATTATAAAGTCCCAGTCTTTCTGAATTAAAAGTCATCTTTGAGTCTTCTCCCCCTTTGTCCAATATACTATCAGTTACCAAGCTCTGTTGATTTTTGAAGATCAGAAAGCTGGTAATGAAAGAAAAATGATTCAAAACTAGATTTCTCAGACACCAAAAGACGGGGCTCTAATACACACTTCATGCTTTGAAAGAGAGAAGTAAGGAGACATACACATCATGCACCCTGGACAGAATGGATCCATGAAGGCAGGAGAAAATTAAGATTATGGTCTGGGGTCTACTGATGGTGGTGCTGGCAGTGGTAATAAAAAGAAATACTAAGAGCTATTACTTACTGAGCTTTTGTTAAATGTGTGGTACCCTACTAAGGCATTTATATTCATTTTTCTTATCTAAAGCCTATTACAAGCCTATAGAGTTAATACTGTTATTAATGTCCATATGAAAGTTAAAGATATTGAAGCTCAAAGACCTGTACAATACCACCTAGCTAGATTTAAACCTAGGTCCATGAATGCTAAACCATTATGCTAAACTGCTTCTGTTGTGTTTATATATGCGCCTTATCTCCCCTACTAGATGATAAGCTTTTGGGGACAGTATTACACCTGGTTTACCTTTATATTCTGCAGTGACTATCTACCATGTCTATCATATAGTAGGGCCCCCAAAATGTTTCCTAAATGAGTAAATCTGTTCTGCCACAGTATACTCTTATCTAAATGATATAATCCCAGAACACTGTGGTTTTAAAAAAATTTTTGGTGAGATTTTGTTTTGGCTGTCATTGTTCTCCATTCCTTTCTGCAATGTCTAATCTGCTGTCTTAGCTTACACACAAGTCTAGATCAATGAGCCACGGAGAAAATGATGTGAGATCTGAGATAGTCTCTCACTCTCCACATCTGATAAACTTCCATTTTTTAATTCTGAATTTGATTCCTAGGATGTTTGAAGTCTCAAAAAGACACATTGCAGTATAAATGGGTTAGTATTATAGGTATTTTTCCAGAGAGAACAACTAGGTATACTATGCTATACAAGAATTCAGTTTATAAATTGCAATTATATAACAGTTGGAACTAAAACATGTGCTTTAAGCCAATT